TCTCACCGGCAATATCACTCTTAAATTACAGCTTCAAGAAGATTTGCATCTTAGCAACTGTTGGCATTGTTGTTTTAACCCTCATGTGCTTAGTTACAAACTCGTCTGGGTAGCCGTTCCTACTAAGCAGATCACGGATGGTGGCGCACTCTTTCTTTATAGCATCCTCTGAGCAAACAGCTGAAGCATAGTATGCTAAGCATTTCACTAGGTTCCTATGGTATTGGAGGGGTACAGCACTAAAGAAGTGCGTATATTGACCTGTTGATGTTGGCTTTCTACAATCACTTCGTTCCACTCCATTGGACCTTCGTACCAGCAGAACATCAAGATTTAGGATACTATCATTTCTCTCCTCTTCCATTGTGAAATTGATTGCCGGGTGAAAACTACTGAACTTATTCAAAACAGCATTTTTACCAGTCTCACTTTTGAGAACTATAAAGATATCATCCATGTAACGACAATATAACTCTAAACGGCTAATAGTATCGCTCAGTGGACCATTCTCAAGTTTTGCCAGAAAAGAATCTGCTAAGAGCGGGCCAAGGGGTAACCCTATAGTTACATCATCGGATTGCCGGTAGAGTTGGTCGTTGAAAAGAAATAAAAGAAGATAACTGGATTACTTATTTGCAACAGGCAGGAAGTGAGTGTCGGCTCACTGGTTGATTACTAACCTGGGTTTCAGCCATCTCACCAGCATTCTTATGTCCTTTGAAGGATGTCCTATTAATACTCTGAACATAATGCTACATTCTTGTATCTGTTATCCAGGGGGTCAATATTCCATAGATACCTCAAAGAAGGCTGGAAGATTTCACAACTATTCATACCATACCAATATTCACGAAAACCACGTGGTCATTCATGTGAGTTGCAGACTGGTAAATGTCTTTTTAGAGGGGTGTAGAGCAAGTCAAGGTTATTGAAAACACACAAACCGTTACCTTTTGTATATGTTTCGACTTGACAATAAATCTCTTTTACCACTTTGCTAGTTCTTTCTGTTTTCTAGGAACCAGGGGGCCTTCAAGGGTGAAGCTTAAATTTATTGTTCAAGGTCCCATTCTAAGATATAAAACTAAGGATATATACAACCTGGTTAAAAGTCTACCGAAATCCACATAAGCCTAAAATCCGTGGTGTCTTTCAAAACCAATCGTGTTGCTTTGATGTTGCTAGTAGAAACACGTATAAATACGAGATTGGTTGACGAGTCAAACGCGAGAAAGTTTTCCTGTCAAGTTTAACAATAACGAAAAGTTAATCATTTATATATCTTTTCAATGACCTTGACGTGCTCAATGCCCTTCTATTCGTATGACAAAGTGGTTCTTCGTGAATGTTTGGCAGGCCATGACTGGTTGTGAAATCTTTCAGGGAATTCTAGCCTTATTTGAAGGATTTGGTGAATACTGATCCACTCCATTATCAATAGTGTTATAAGATATCAGATTCGGGGTCATTAGTGCTGCTAGAAAAAAGCTAGAGTAAGGTAACTGTAGTGTTAGCATCCATCTTAAGTTGAAAACTGCAAAATAAATCAAGCTTAAGAAGTGTTTATAACGCTGAATGGTTTGCGGGGATTTATTGACTTCATATGTGTATTCATCATGAACTGACATTAGCTGGAGAACTATTGGAAACCCGGAAGAACTGAACAGCTGTTTCGTCCTAGTATAGGAATCTTCAGCAGTGTGCACATATGGCCTCTAGAGGGGTTATTAAAGTCAACAAATCTCCACAAAATTCAAAATTGAATTATTCTAGTACTCACTGGTAACTATGCTCGTTAGGTGATTCTCGAAGGTCCGATGAGAAGGCATGAACAGTGGAATCAACCAAGTCGAAAATGAGGACAGTTACTCAACGATCACATTGGATGGAAGTCACGCAATATCGCGAAATGACAGAACTTGGGAATATACACCACTGAATTCCAAGCCAGTAGCCCAACGACAATGTTCTAGCTACGGGACCTGAAGCTCTTGGGGTTCGATCCCAGGTCAGAACGGATGTGGTGATGAGTGCACACTGCAGAGCAGTCCCATACAAGGAAAAAGCAGTTGTCTAGAGCCCCCAGGTTCCTGATGTTTCTCCAACTGATGTCAGTCTATTACGGATACCAACATGAAGTTTATAAAATATATTGGTAGTTATGTACAACAGTAAACCGATTCAAGGAATATCCTCTGTGAGATCCAGGTTCAGATTCAGCTTCTTAACCTGACAACACTGACTAGTAATATAGATCACCTTCAGCATCTTATTATGTAATTTCCAAACAATAAAAAGCATTCATCTGATATGACTTTAAAAAGTTTGATCCTGGTGGAAAGTTTTATAAAACATACCTGGCGAGTGGAGAGATTTTTACAGTCTGATAACCAATACGACTCAATTACCTTTAACGAACTTACGACGAATAAATGTCTATTTTCACTAACCTCTCTAATTTCAAGCTTTGCTGTTTAGCAAGTAGTCTGCAGTATTCGTGTTTTGGATTATGAATATTCGATAATCTAAGAGAATAGTTATTCTAGTTGGTTAAAGTTCTTCTTCAGAGATGAGGAGCAAGTTTTTAACCTCAGTCACTGAACCTATGAAATTCAACTGCCACTTGAAAACCGCCAATTTTTAAAAGTCTAATCACAGATGTAAGCACAAAAAGATAAAGAATGAAGCTATTGCACTAATAGTACTGCCCTACATAATATTAGCATGAGAGATTTTTCAGTGAATTTCATGATCTCAGAGAGTAAAAAAGCTTCTGCTTAGTTTTCTGAAACGATCTTGCAGTCACAGTGTGTGAAAAAAATCGCAACTGAACGTGATTAGTACTCTTTCTAACACTAGTATTGTTTGATAACAAAGCTTGTAGCTTCCCGCCATTGACTGGAATGAACTGATCAGCAATCATTTACATATGAGCTTCTATGAGGACATCTCGTTGTTGACGGCATTTTCAGCTGTGATTCTGATGGGTCAGTCCAGTCCAATCACTGACAGATATCTATAACCCATAACATCAAAACTATTCTGGACCTGTCTCCCATAGAGTGGCTATCATTGTTTACTGGCCTATTGCGCGATTCCGAGTTCCGGTGGGGTGCAGGTACATTCAACTGATGAGTCCGAAATTGGATGAAACGCGTGTCCTGAATTCTACTTAGAGTAATCTCATTGTTACAAACATGAGAGGAATTAGCTTGACTAATATTTTGTCCTAAATCGTAGGGTCCATAGTTATGCAACAGCTAATTAGAGCTGGAGAACAGCAAACTCAAGAAAACCAGGTAAGTTTCAGACCTGGACGAGGGTGCATCTGTCAGATTTCCACCCTGCAGTGGGTTCTTGAACACATGCATATCTACCAGCCAGTGGCCAACACTTTCTACATTTCTTGACCTGAAGGTGGCATTTGGTTGTGTCGACTGTGAGGGGTTTTGTCAGTGTCTAACTATGAAGGGAGCACCGAGCAAGTACGTAATGCTTACTACAGCTGTCTACTCGAACTCATGCAGCCGTATCAGAACTTTTGAAGAGTTATCAAGTGAGCCGGAAACAACTAGCGGTATCCAACAGGAAAATCCTCTGTCACTGTTCTCATTTAACTTTTTATAGACGTATCAATGGACATAGCCTTAGACTGACTTCGCAATAATTGACCTACTCCCTGGAGGTCATCTAGATGAAGGCGAAGATGATGACTAAATGCAGGGTCTTCTGTATGTGCTGAGCAGAAATCTGTGTATGTTTGGCATGTGTTTCACACCTCTTAAATTTAAGATGATGCTATAGTACCGCTCCGCAGCAAATACTTGCAGTTTATTAATAGGAAGTGAAGTGGTCGACCAATTCACTTACTTGGAGAATCGCATCAACTCACATGGGCTAGTTTCTAAAGAAATCTCAGGTCGGGTACAGAAGGCCAGCTTGGCATTTGTCAACTTGAATCACTTCTGGTGCCGGTGAGATATCCATCTATCTATACTGTATATGTATACTGTATCTATATATATATATACTGTTCTTCAGTCCGTTCTGTTCTGTTCTACGTCTGTCCGACATGGCAAATAAAATCAGAAGACTTGAAATGATCACCATGCTTTGAGCACAGCTGTCTTTGTTGTAATGCTCGCGTGTAGTGGAATCTCCGTGTGAACAGTGTCGAGGTCAGGCGACAGGTTTTAAGTAAGACAGACAGGTTGGACATTAGTCGACTAAGATGGCTTGGACATATACTGAGCCTCCCGACCTGCCTCCTACCTCAACGTGCCATGTTGGAGAAGTTGGTCTAGAGTGGTTAGGTCAAGACCTGGAGCCAGTCGACGAAGTCTCTGACTGTTGGTCTCAGCCGTTTGGGGGAGATTTAGATTGCCTGGTTGAAGTCCCTGAGATGGAAGAAATCAATGGTTGAGAACTCTTTGCGACACGGCTGAAAATTGGTCACATTGGTGTAGATGTATTCACTCCCTGATATCTTCTAAAGCTTTAGTATTCACACTAGCCTTTATACTCAAATTGTGGCTTATGTCACACTACTTTATCTACTCTGATATCACTCCCTTTCTATCCACCTGTTCTTTGTTTACTTCTATTAAGTGTGGCAACTTGGGATAATGCACTCCTGTTATAGGTTGTGCGTTGACTTTTGTCAGTCAGTGTCAGTCCTGTATTCCGCTGCTGTCCACCATCCCTCATTATGAGTACAGTTTAGGAGGCTATAATTTCAATGAATATGATTGTTACCAAGATCTTTATAAGAATGTTTGGTATGTCCATACATTTTGGTTCATTCTTCTAAATGAAAGAATCTCGAAGCAGACATCAGTAAAGTGGATATGAAAAGCGTAGACACCCATTAAGCTGCTTCCTTTCTGCTGACCATCTGCAATTCTAATTAATATGAAAATTATTCATGAGACAGATTTATTGAATTCGTTCAAATTCCAAAACATATTACATCACAATTTTTCATAATGATAATGGCTCACCTGAAAGATTTGCATATTACTTAATGCTTTATTCGTATTTGGAATGGATATATTTACACGTGAGGAAGCTGGTGGAGACAATTCAGCTAGATAGGTATTCATTGTTGGAGTTATTATTGGGTAGGCCAACATAGTGTTTGGTAAATTTTGTGAGTAAATCATGTAGTTGGCTGGTGTAATGACAGAATGTGACTCCCTCAATGAAGTATCATTCGTGCTGTAATTATGACTAGTATTGTTTTTTACAGTAGTGTTAGAATTAGCGACAAAATGCATTTCATTCGGTAGGCTTTTCACCGATTGATCAGTGGCCAGCTCAAAGTTCATTGGTGATTGTTGGTTTGAATATGTCCACCATGTAGGATCTTGATTTGATGCCACTGCTGCTGTGGTTGTTGTTACCGCTGATGCTGCCACCGCCGCTGTTTGTGTACTTGTTGTTATCACCGTGATTGCAGTCTTTGCTGCATCTGTTATGACTAAATCGTGATTTGGGCAAAAACCAGTTTCCAAGTTTGCATTAGGATCTAAAGCAGTTTTCAGATGCTTTTTTCGGTACATTTTCTCATCCAGTAAGTAATACCAACCAGAGATCTGTAGTGGATAATCAAAAAAACAATTAGAAACAATAAGGCAGCGTTCATTAGAACTTTATTCTGTGAGCTCCGACTATACACTTTGATATGTTCTTGTTCATATATCTGTTATTTCGTAATTATTCAAATATTCAAGAGTACCAGTATCAATTCTCATAAATTCATTTGGTAGCTTATGAGAATTTCTTAACTCCCAGATACCTTTCATGATGAGTCAAGATCACTTAGAGAACCATCCGAGTTCTCTCTGTTATAATATGCCTACGTGACATGGTCGTTCAAAGTGGAGGACCCCCTAGTCGTTCGTAGCAAAAACAATGCACCATCGATTCCAGTGGTTGTCATGTACTACGCAGGCCTGGTCAGCATCTGCCGTGATGCATATTGTTGACTGTTGTTGGATTAGGCTAGGAAAAGGTCAAAGGTGGCCGCAATAAAACATACTATCACTTTGTAAAGTCTCTAAATGTTGGCGTGTGTCATGTACAGAAAGGTAGACTTTCAGGCCGGGGTATGTGCTACTACTACTACTGCTACTACTGACAGCACTACCATAATTTATTTTCACTGAAAGTTATCTATAGTGTCATAAGGACTCTATGGATGCTTGAAATTTCATTCAGATAATAATCCAATTTATTTGTGCCCTATATCAAAACAATCAGTCTACTAACCTTTAATTACAGCAAGCAGAAATTATGAATTTATGCATTGAAGCCTTTTCACCTGGAATAAATGCATGTCAATTAGTGATTGATCTTTGATGTTATGCCTTGTATCATTGGGTGGGCCGAATCTGTCGGTCACGATTACTATATGGACTCCTGTTCAGATATCTCACTATTCCTGGCGTTCCTAAAATTTAACAGTAATGGTGGGTAGTGGCTAACAATAAAATCTATGACACGTGTTTCGTCCTGTGTGTGACTCGTCAGTTTATTGTCTTTCCCTCGCAGTGATTGATGTTGTTCCCACTAAAACTAGAACTCTGGATGAATCAAAGACTAGACTATGCCCGTCTTACGAGGAGTAATTATCATGATTCATTGGCATAGTGGATCACACTCTGAGGTTTGAAGCGATAGATCCTGAATTGACTAGGAGACAGGTATATCTACCCGAAACGCATGTCCTGGATTCTACTGTTAGGCAAAGTGATCTGTTATGCTCATCAATAGTATCACTAGTCCAAGTTGGTCAGTAAGAATCATTGAGATAGGCGGCGTTTGATGGGTTGGTATTTTCGGTACTACGTGATATCTGAAGACGGTAGAATTCAGATCGATGGCCATCGGACGACCCATTCTATACACAACCAACAGTCTTTTACTTTAGTTCAGTCACAGAAGAATGGTTTGGGCCTGTCAATTATGTGAATATGTGACGCATAGCTGTCTGAATATTGTGGTCACATTACTGAAATCCTTAGCGATTAATGTTAAGATCTGTTTAGCAGCTCAAATAGTAGACGGTTGTACTTGTAACCCAAATGCTGTTATTTCGAAATCAGGAGAAGTTTTTAATTCATCTTTCAGTCATTAATCAAAATGAGGTTAGGTGGGTAGAAACTTTAAGTTCATTCATTATCTTAGATAAATAAGATTCACTCATTTTGGATAATGTGGGAAGCTATGAGGAAAGCTAGAAAGTATGATTATCAGAATTAGTATTCCCAACTGAAGTCACTTTAACCGCGCCTGGTTAACTAGTTCACTAGTTACTAGCCCGTCCTAAGCCCGGGTAAAGAGAGAAGGTTGGGCATAGGGCTAGCAACCCTACCCCGTATAACAAATCTAACCGCTAAACAAACTTCAAAGCACAAACGATATATAAAAAATAACAACAAAATTATCCCTCGCTGGAATCGGAGAGGCGAAATGATGCCAGTTGGTGAAAGCCTGCCTTCAGGAAGCCAATTGGCCGATGTGTCTCCCCTTCTCTCGATCAAAGCGAAAGTAAACGTGGGGACATGGAATGTCCCCACCATGTTTGAACCCAGCAAGGCAGCCAAGATTGCAAAAGAGATGAGAAGGTATCACATTGAAGTGCTTGGGATTTGCGAAAGCAGATGGAATGGGAGTGGACTCTCCAAACTGTCAACTGGAGAATCAATAATCTACTCCGATATTGTCACCCAGACGACAACCACGAGCACACTGAGTTATGGAGTGTCTATCATGATGTCCCCTTCAACAGCATCGAAGGCTCTAATGCAGTGGGAACCAATCTCCTCAACGATAAGGATCATGACAGCAAGGTTCAATTCAAAAGGAAGGAAGGAAGGTCACAATCATACAATGCTACGCTGTGCACCTACAAATAATGCAGAGCAAGAGAAAAAGGAGAAATTCTACAGACAACTGCAATCAGCACTGGACAAGACCACATCCTAGTTGATGACATCAAAATTCTAATGGGTGACATGAATGCCAGACTGGGAGGGGACAACACAGGAAGAGAACAACCATGGGTTGAGAAGCGCTCGGTGAGGTGATGAACGAGAATGGAGAACTGTATGCAGAATTCTGTGCATTCAAAGATTTGGTGATTGGAGGCAGTGTGTTCAAGCACAAGGATATCCACAAAGCCACATGGATTCGATTTCATCAGATGGACACACTACACTAAGAATCAAATCGACTTTATCTCAATCTCAAGAAAATGGAGACGCAGTCTACTTGACACAAGGTCAAGAAGAGGAGCAGATGTAGTTCACACCACTCACTATCCAGTGCAAGGAACCTACCTTCCGAATCAAGTTAAAAGCCTTCAAGGAAGCTGGTGATAGACCTCAATTCAAGTACAACACTCGGAAACTGAAGGATGAAACTACAAAGGAAATCTTCACGGCAGCCAGTCATCAAGACAAAATGGGAGATACCGAGGAACATTCCTGAAGAAACCTGTATGGAGGAACACTGGAAGTCTTTGAAAGCTATGTCGAGAGAAACCTGCACAACAGTATTAGGAAAGAAGAAGAAAGAAGATAAGGAATGGATCTCGATGGATACATGGAAACTGATAGAGGAGAGGAGGATGGTGAAGCAGAAGATAAACCAGTGCAAGGATGCTCAACGACAAGAGGAACTGAGCACGATGTATAAAACTCTGCACAAAGAAGTGAAGAAGACTGATAGGAAAGACAAAAGACACCTCCATGATACATTGTACAATGAAGCAGAACAGGCTGCAGGTTGGTAGGAGAGACCTGACAAATAACCAGGTTGCTATCTGGGAAGAGATCAGCGCAGATGAAACCAATAAAAGATGATGACGGAAGTTTAATTACGAAAGAAGAGAAACGAAGGAAACAATTGGCCGACCACTTCAAGAAGCTCTCGAATCGACCACCATCTGCACTTCGTCCAGAAATACCACCTACAGCCCAGCCGCTGAACTACAAGTGAACATAAATCCTTCAACAAAAATGGAAGTCCTGGACGCCATAAAGCTACTGAAATATGGGAAAGTAGCAGGACCAAATGGGATCCTGCCAGAGACAACAGCGGACATGCTCACACCACACCACTATTGCAGAAGGTGTGGAAGGAAGAGAAGGTACCCGGCAATTGGAAGAAGTATTACCTTGTCAAACTGCCGAAGAAGGGAGACCTCAGTGTTTGCTAGAACTGGTGCGAAATCATGCTCCTGTCCACCCAAAGCGAGTAAAATATTAGGCCTCATCATCCTGGAGAGGCTAAAGTATGCACTGGATTCAAAACTACGACCGGAACAGACAGGCTTCAGGAAGTACAAATCATGTGCGGACCAAATTGCAACGCTTCCCATCACCATAGAACAGAGTATAGAATGGCAGTCGACTCTCTACCTCAACTTTATCGACTTTGAGAAGGCCTATGACAGCGTCGACCGAGAAGTAATATGGAAACTGCTTCATTAATACGGAGTACCGCAAACCTTTATCAGCCTCATTCAACAGCTATATGAAGACACCACATGCCAGCCAAGTAATTCACAATGGGAAGCTCAGTGATGCTTTTGAAGTGAAGTGAAGACAGGAGTGAAACAAGGTTGCCTACTATCCCCCATGATATTCCTGATTGTGGTCGACTGGATCATGCAGCAAACAGTGGGGAGAGAGAAGAGGGGGATAAGCTGGACTGAAGAAAACAACCTAGAAGATCTGGATTTCGCCAGTGATGACTTGTGTCTGATGTCACACAAACTCGAAGATGTACAGGCGAAAACTAACAAGTTGACAGAAGAGGCGAGGCAGTGAAGACGGGACTGTAGGTTAACGTAGAGAAGACAGAGTTGATGAAGATACCGCACCAACAACTCCAACAACAACAAACTCCAATCACCATCAACGGGAGATACCTAAAGGAAGTAGCCCCCTTCACCTATCTAGTCAGCACTATTTCAACTACAGGCGGAACAGACGAGGACGTCAAAACCAGCCAGAATCGGTAAAGCAAGACAGGCTTTCAGTGTGGAGATCTACTGCACTCAGCATGTGGAACAAGATCCAGATTTTTAACACCAATCCAGTCAAGTCAGTGTTTCTGTATGGTTCAGAGACTTGGCGCGTTACGATTGGCATTTCCAACAAACTACAGACATTCATCAACAACTGCCTACACTCACTCCTTACTGAAGATCAGATAGCCAGAAAGAATAAGCAACAAGGAACTCTGGCAACGAACCAACGAAGCAAGAATCTATAGCTCAACAAATGTGCACTTGAAGGAAGTGGAGATGGATTGGGCATACACTGAGAAGGCCGACTGGGGACATCATGCGTCAGGCCGTCGAGTTGAACCCCATGGGAAGCGACGAGTTGGGCATCCGGGGTGAGGGTGACATGGAGGAGATCGTTCGTGGAGGAAATGAGAGCTTGTGGGCTGTCGTGGAGCCAGGTTCAAAAGATTTCGAAGAACAGAGTGGAATGGAGACGTGCTACTGAAGCCGTATGTCCCACTAGGAACCCAAGGGACAAATAATAATAATAATCTGAAGTCACTTTATCTCTTGATA